TCCAGCTGTTCGAGTCAAGAATTCGTCTTTCCTCTATTAACAACCCATCGGGTCAAATTCGGATCACCCGGTTCGATTGGCCTCGACATTTTACGCATTAACAGTTGGTGCCATCTGTGGGGAACAACAATAAAAGAAGACATAGACTCGACCCTAGCCAAAATTTGTGTTCCAAATCATGAATCCGCCTTATAATCCAACCAACCTTGAACAATGATTGAAAGTCGCTCAAGAACATAAAGCAACTCGTCTTCACATATACAGTGACTCAATTTTGGTAGTAAACCAATTTAAAGGAGACTACCAGGTCAAGGGGGTCAAACTAGCCGAATATAAGGCACAGGTGCGAAATTTGCTTACTTCTTTTGCAGAATGGGAAATTCGGCAAATACCACGATCGGAGAACAGAAATGTTGACGCACTGGCACAACTAGCCTCTGCCTACATAACGGAAGAAGCACGGGAAATTCCCATGAAGTTCGTTGCAGAACCAAACATAAGAAAGCCCAAAAACCTCCCCGTGATGACCGTCCCTCAATTAAGTACTTGGACGGATCCCTTGGTGAAACACCTGACAACAGAAGAGTCGCCCGAAAGTAAAATGGAGGCCTGACAAGTACAATGTCGGTCGACACAATATGTTGTTCACAATGGAACCTTATACAATCGAGGATTCTCACTACCACTTCTGGAATGACTTGATCATGAGGAATCAGCTTTTGTCCTACAAGAGGTGCATGAAGGCATTTGTGGCAACCACCTAGGGGCACGATCCCGGGCACAAAAAATTACAGGCAAGGGTATTATCGGCCAACCTTACACCGAGAAGCTAAGAACTATACCTGAAAGTGCAATTGCTATCAGCGAATTGCCCCTGTTCATAGGCAACCAGTTGAGCCATTATCTGCCGTGACCGGAGCCTGGCCTTTTGCCTAATGAGGAGTAGATCTTATAGGTCTCCTCCCGTAGGGGGAAGGACAAACAAAATACGCGATAGTTGCGGTAGATTACTTTACCAAATGGGCTGAAGCAGAAGTCGTAGCTTCAATCACTGAGCAACAAAATTACCCAGTTTGTATATCAAAGTTTGATATGCAGATTTGGAATCCCCTACGCAATTGTGACAGAGAATGGAAGACAATTTGACAGTTCGGGTTTCAAAAGTTTCTGTGATCAACTAGGCATTTAGCACTTTTGATCATTTCCTTCGCATCTGCACTCTAATGGTCAGGTGGAAGCCGTTAACAAAATCATAAAAAGATGTCTAAAAGCTTGTTTGGACTTCTTCAAAGGAAAATGGGTAGAAGAGCTACCAAGCATACTATGGGCATATCGAACTACAGCGAAAACCACGACGGGAGAGACCTCTTTTTCTTTAGCCTTCGACACTGAGGCAATGATCCCAGATGAGATCGGGCTGCCTTCTCCTTGAACAGAAAATTATGATCCCGATACTAGTGAAGAATCTTTAAGAATGAAGTTAGATCTGTTAGAAGAGTTACAAGAAGGTGCTAAACAACGAATGATAGCATGCAAGGAATGCAGTGCGCAACATTATAACACTCGTATGCAACCACGAGCGTTTCAAGTAGGAGATATCGTTCTATTCAAAGTACTCCCTAACGCCAAGAACCCAACAGACGGTGTCCTTGGTCCTACATGGGAAGGCCCATATGTGGTCACTAAACTAGCTTGACCCGAAACTTATTACTTGTCTAATGCAATGGGAAGAATACTGACCCAATCGTGGAATGTGGAACATTTAAAATTATATTACCAGTAAGCAAAATATATCAATAATAAAATGTCATGTGTTAGGAATAAAAGTGTTATTTCTTGAAACAAAAAGAACATGTTGTTACCAACAAGA